CGCTACGGGTTGGTTTCCTTGAAGTAAAATAGCTCCAATTCCAATTCCTGAAGCATCACATTCAATTTCAAAAGTCTTAGAGAGATCAGGCAGTGCTAAAACAGGAGCATTGGTTAAATCATGCTTTAATTGCTGAAAAGCCATTTGTTGTTTTTCTCCGCATTCAAACTTCACATTCTTTTTCACCAACTCGTTTAAAGGTGAAACCTTTGTTGAAAAATCTTTGACAAACCTTCGGTAACAACTTGCGAGCCCATGAAAAGATCTTACCTCTAAAACGCTTGTAGGGATAGGCCAATCTACAATAGCCTTTATTTTTGCTTCATCAACACGTAAACCATCAGCACCAACAATATACCCAAGGAAAACAACTTCTTTCACGCAAAATGTGCACTTTTTCAGATTTGCAAACAACTTTTGCTCGCACAAAGTACCAAGAACAAGCTTAAGATGCTCGACATTATCATGCATACTTTGACAATATATCAAAATGTCATCAAAATACACAACAAAAAATTTCCCTATGAAATGCCTCAAAAAATGATTCATAAGCCTCATGAAGGTGCTAGGTGCATTAGTTAAGCCGAAAGGCATAACTAACCACTCATAAAGACCAAATTTGGTTATGAAAGCGGTCTTCCATTCATCACCTTCTTTGATTCTAATTTGGTGATATCTATATTTAAGATCAATCTTCGTAAAGATTTWGGCCCCATTCAACTCATCAAGCATGTCATCCAATCTAGGGATTGGATGACGATATTTGATGGTGATTTTGTTAACAACCCTACAATCAATACACATGCGCCAAGTACCATCTTTCTTTGGAACTAAGATGACAGGCACGACACATGGACTAAGAGACTCACGAATAAAATGTTTTTCCAGTAACTCGCCAACTTGTTTTTGAAGCTCCTTTGTTTCCTCCGGGTTGGCTCTATAAGCTGGCCTATTTGGAATAGTTGCACTTGGAACCAAATCGATTTGATGTTCTATACCTCGAATTGGTGGCAATCCATTGGGAACTTCTTCGGGTAACACATCTGCAAATTCACTTAAAACGGAAACAATCTCCAAAGGTAAATCATGAGGTGAATTGTTAGTCGATAAGCAAACTTCTTGGTACAGAARTACAACCAGAAGCTTATGGGAAGTTAACGCCCTATCTACATCTCTCATGCTCGCAAAGAAAGCACCTTTTCTCTCATTGGCTTTTGGTTTTTCTCCATTGAGTGTTCCGCTCATATTTTATTCACTACTTTTTTTTCACTTTCTTTTTCACTTTTATCATCTCCAGTCTCTTTTGACTTTTTCAAACTCTCCTCTTTTAGTCTTTTGTCTCTCATTTTTATTTGTTCTTTTAACACTTGTTGTAGGGACATAGGTACAAGGGTGAATGACTKATTATTGAGTACAAAACGATACTTATTTGAACAACCATGATGAGTTGTTTTGCGATCAAACTCCCAAGGGCGTCCAAGAATGATATGGCTAGCAGTCATGGGTACAACGTCGCACAAAACTTCATCTTCACATTTTTCGATGGAAAACCTCAACAATACCTACCTCACAACCTTGAGTTCTCCATGATCGTTTAGCCATTGTAAACGATATGGTTTTGGATGCTTGATAGTTGGCAACCCCAACTTCTCCACTAGATAAGAACTAGCACAGTTGATGCAACTTCCACTATCCATGATCAACATGCATACCTTGTCTTGGATTAGGCATCGAGTATGGAAGATGTTGTGACGTTGTTGATTGTCCTCTTCTTTAGCTTGCATGTTTAACGCCCCCATGGTCACAAGAGCCTCCCTTTCGTCACCACTATCGACCGCGTTAAGTTCTTCCTCATCCTCATATGGCATATTGTTGCCATCATCCTCATCCTCACTTTGACTCAAATAGGATCCATCATCAAGCATAATCATAGTTTTMGAATTGGGGCATTGTGAAGCGATATGTCCCTTTCCCAAACACGTGAAACAAGTCAATTTTGAAGTATGAGAAGAAGAAGGGTTGTTTTTGTCACTTTTTCTTGGAAAAGTCTTCTTTGAATCAAATTCCTTACCATGTTTCTTCTTTAGGTCTTCATTTTTATTCCGCCGGTTATTTTTCCAAGAAGACAAAGAAGATGAATTGGAAGAAAACTTACTTGAACCTCCTTTTCTTTTTAATTGTTTCTCCACCTTTTCAGCCATGTGAAACATTTCCTCCAAATCCATGTAGTGTTGCAACTCCACCACATCA